GTTGCATTAACTGCCTTGACAGCATAACATGCTAGTTCAGCCAATGTTCTAGCATTACCTACTGCCAGTCCAGGAACTCCGACAAAGGAAGCTGCTAAAGAAACATATTCAGCTTTACTCAGCAAACTTACTTTAGAATCACAATCAGGAGGGAGGGAAACAGAGCGCCGAGTGCGAGATTGTGTCTGTGGCAGGACCAGGGGTCATTTCGTAGAAAAAGAGCTAGCATAACTCATTAGCATATGCCACACCTCCTGACATCACCGGAAGTGTGTCATAAGGCCACACCCCCTGACATCACCGAAAATGTGTCATAAGGCCACACACCCCGCCCCCAATGGTCCTGGCCGCCGCCACCGGTCTTGCAGCTCCACTGCCAAGCCCCATGAGGGGCCCGGTGGTGGACCTGCAAGGCCGGCGGGAGTTTAAGGAAGCCCCGCGAAGGCCCTCCCTGGCCCCAGGCAGGCAGGGGTGGGGAGAGGCAGGGAGGAAGCAACTTACCCTCCCTCTTCTCCTGCCTCCTCCTGGCTGAATGAGGGCTGGAAGCAGGGGGCGGGGCTTCATCATGTGCCCCGCCCCCCGGTACCTCACCAGGGGGAACTGCGTTCCCCTGCGTTCCCCCCCGAAATGACCTCTGGGCAGGACAATAGCAAGCCGACTGAGGCAACAAGTGACCTCACTAAGATTGGCAGGGATATAATTAAAAGTACGACTGCCACAGGTAAAGAACCAGCCAGTTGGTAACATGATATAGGCATAATTGAAAGACACTTTAGTGAGGTGAGGACATTTTAGTATGTCAGGGCCTACGTTAGAACACCGCTGGGAGCGTTTAGTATAGTTAACAATGCGGGCGCAAGTAGTATTGCCACTGGCTACGTAGGGAGTGTGACGAGAGATTGCGGATGCAGGTAAACGCAGGTACCATGGTACGATAACCCACAGTGACATTGGGAAACCCATAGAACATGGTCTCTTTAGTTATATTTGCAGGTTGCTTACACACCGGGATCAAACAGGTACCCAATAAGTCACCAGCTGAAAGGGAGTTGGTCAAACAGAAATGAGTAACATTAGAAATATTAGCAAGACGCTCCCAAATGTTGAATACCATACGTTCTCTTAAAGAAGGCAACACACACACCCCCGATGGGCACAATAAAAAAATGACACCATGAGGAAGCTAACACATAACCCAGCTCCACCAGGCATCAGAGCCAGGGACCCCTGGCTCGCCATCTCCCCAATCTTCATCCTCATCCTCTTCATCCTCTGAGTCGGTGGGTTCATGCTCAGAGGAGTCAGTAGAGTCTTCATGGAGACCCTGGCAACGCGTACACCAGAGATCGTGCCAAAAAGTACAGTCAGTTATGGAGGGAGGATGGTGTTCCTCAGATAGGGCAAAGCGGCCTTGAGAATGTTCCCACACCCGAACTGGAGCGTTGGAAGAACAGCCGAAGCTTCCATGTGTCGTGGTAGTCAGGGTTGCGAAACTGAAATTCTACCTTTCCCCACCCAAAAGGAGAGTCTGTGGGATCAAAATAGAACCAGACTAGACACAGATAGTAAGGACAAACTGCAGCTGGCCCTGCCACCAGTTCCGGCCTAGGGTGATTGCAAAGGGTCCAGAAACTGCTGACCAAAGACTTGATAACGATACTCTGGACTCCAGTGCTCAGAGTCGTCCCGTAGACTGTTGATGTATGGATTCCAAAAGATGTGGAACCTCACGCTGTGGAAAGGGTAGAACAATATTAATAAGATCACAGGCACCTCGAGAAAGAGCATGGTGCCGACCTAGGCTAATGAGGCTAGCTGTTGCCTCAATATATGGAAGAATATTCTGATGAGGACTATGAGAGTGGAAAAGCCATTCTGCAATAAAAATTGGTCCAGCGTCTTGTTCTTGGACTGCTAAGCAGCCAGTAGGCATTTTTGGAGTTGGAAGGATTAAAAGTTGAAGGCCAGTATGAATAGCTGGAAGCCGGTCAACACAGCGTCGGCCCAAAAGAAGATTGACAGTCTGTAAGGCTGAGATTGCCTCTGCAGAGGGAGTAATAAGAACACCGGTCAAAGTGTGACTAATTAGAGCCGCACCAAAATAGAGAGGCTGCGGGCGGGATCCCATGGATCCCGTGAGCCACGCGCTATTGCTCCCCGGCACGATCAGATGCCGGGGAGGAAGAGACGAGTGGGAGGGGGAGGCTGCCGAACTGCACATGTGTGAGCATGTGCAGTTCGGCGGGGGGCCGGGGATGCGCCGGCGGCAAGACGCGCCGGTGATCCCACGGCCAGCCGTGATGTGGACCTACCAGATGAACCACCTAGGTAGGTGGTTCATGTTTGGTGCGGGGCTGTCGGGGGAAGGACCGGATCGGGAACGGGCCCGCAACACTTCCCAGACATTGCAGTGGGCTCGCGCCCGTTTGCTGCGCCCCCGATCCGGCCCACTCCTGGCCCAAAACCCCTCGTGTGGACAGGGCCTAAGTAAAGCAAAAAGAGGGCTAAGAAGGTCAGTAGATAAAGGAAAATAGGGCGGGACCCAATTGAGGGTACCGAACATTTGTTGAAGAGCGACTAATGTTAAAGGCTGTGGAAAAGAGAGTTGTGGAAGCACAGGTGCTGCAAATGACTGGAGCATCTTATGCCCTAAGTAGACATAAGGCTCATGTAATTGAATTTTCTCCGGGGCAATTTGAAGACCCCAGCGTTCTCTTTAGCTAATTTATGTAAGAGTTCTACTTGAGCCTCTTCATTATCAATTTGACGTTTTAAAGCCTCTTGTAGTCTATTAATGAACTCAATGTAAGGCTCAGTGGCTTTCTGTCTAATACTTGAAAAAGTCTGTAGTGGTTTGCCAGAAGCTGGAACTCGCTGTAAAGCTCGAAAGGCACAACCAGAAGAGACTTCTAGGGTAGCCTCAGGTAGGACAATCTGTTGAACGGCTTGAGCAAAGTTCCCATGACCATAAAGTTGTTCCACTGTATAAGCACCTCTGGAGGCTTGACCCCGAATAAGGCACTGTTGTTGGAACTCACTATCCCATACCACATATTGAGCTGGAGACAAAAGTATGTGGCATGTTGTTTTCCAGTCCTCTGGAACTAACACGTGATTTCTCATTAAAGCCTCTAACATCCCTTGAACATAGGTACTCTGTAAGCCCATGTCCCGAATTCTCTTGCGCAATTCTGTTAAAATAGGATAAGAAATGGGTTTATATTCCACTATATTATTTCCTGCGTTATCTTGGTGTCCGGTGAGGTGCACCGGGCACACAGACAACATTTCAGAAATCTCTTTAATTTCTTCCAAGGAAGGGTTCTGATTTTTTAAGTGATCCATAAGAACACTTCGCGGATAGGGGTGTAAGGGCGGAGGATGTTTATCTGGTGGATCTACTGGCGGTGGCTTTTGAGGCGTAGAGGGTAAAGACTCTAAGGGTGTTGATGCTAAAGGCAGTTTTGGTGCTGAGGGCACGGGTGGTGCAAGAGGTGGTGGTGGCTTAGGTAAAACCAATGGACCCCCTTGAGAAGAGGCAGAGGAGCCTTCTGTACTGCATGTAAGAGAAGCCAGCGAAGAAACAAGCGCTATAGCTTCTACTGCGAACCTACACAAATACCAAGAATGTAACACTTCCACTGGAGCCCGAGGCTCTGCATGAAAAGTCTTCCCAATCTTTTCCCAGTCCCTAAGTTTTAAGGAACCTGTCCCAGGGTACCAAGGACATTGTTTTTGAATTTCCATAAGCAGTTGCTTAAGGGACACAGAAGACACGGACCTGCCGGCCTTCTGGGCGAGGAACTGTAGCTCTTTTAAATGTTTCTGTTGTGGTAGTGTTAAGTTTCCACCCATACTCACCAATGTAGGGGTCGTGGAAGCACGACGAGGAAGTGCACTTCAGGGGCCTATGCCAGGCGTTGATGAGATGGAGAAAAAGATATTGTATTTACACCCCGCCGGTTTGAGGGTTCAATAACGACACAACACATAGATCTGTTGAAGCTCCCTGACCAGGCTCTCAAGCTCTCTCTGTACCTCTGTGTCTCTTGAACTGCCTGTCAGCAGCATTTTATTAAAATCAGGCTCACACATTTCTTCCCCCTTCCTGTACAGTGAAATCGTTACAATTAGAAGCCTCTAACTAAGATTCACCGTATGTTCTTAACAGAATGTTCTTTACGCTGAAACTCTCCTATCTTCCCCACTGTAGCCAACTTTATTCTCTCAGCAGACTCAGCAGACTTTGTGCACTGCTTGCCAATCTCCCTGTGAGAACTTGAACTCGTCCTGGGCGTGCCTCACGGGAGTTGTTCATATTCCCACAGGGAGGTATTTTTGAATCTCCTGCATTGTGCAGGGGGTTGGACTAGATGACCCTGGAGGTCCCTTCCAACTCTATGGTTCTATGATTCTACAGAGATCACTTCCCCTGGAGAAAATGGCTGCTTTGATGGGTGGACTCTATGGCACTGTACCCCACTGTGGTCCCTGTCCTCCCCAGGCTCCCTCACCAAATCTCCAGGTGCTTCCCAACCTGGATCTGGTAACTCTACCCCCCCCTTCCCACCAGAGGGGAACTGACAACCCTAACTGTTGATGTATCCTGGGGAGAAGGTTTCTTGGGGATTGTAGTTCCCCAGCCCCCGCAACTGCTCTAAAGGTCTTGGGAACTACGAAAGCCCTGGCAGCAGCCCTTCTCATCTGCACCAGCGTTAGCATACCCTGAGGTGGGGCAGCTGCCAGGGCTTCTGGGCAGGCCCGCTCACCGCTGACCCCTCCAGCGAAGACAAAAATGTGTGCGCTGGAGGCTAAAAAATGGTGAGCTGGCTCACACTGACTCAGCTTAGAGGGAACACTGCTCTGGGGCACTATATTCTGCTGAGGTCCCTCCCGGGCTCCATCCCCAAATCTCCCAACCCAGAGTTGGCACCCCTTTTGATATGCTCTTCCTTAACCCGAAAGAAAAGCAAACAACCATTTTCTAAATCTTTCTCCAGTGGGGTCCTCAAGAGGCCATGGCGACCGCCCTGCTTCCCGACCACCGCACCATGAACCCTTGCCCGGTGTACGACAGAAAGAGCAGCCGGATCTTCCTCTTCTTCATCTGCGTCGAGACTCACGTCACGGAGCTCCACCAGATCAAGTTGGGGAGGAACGCCGCCCGGCTCTGCTACGTCTCCAGCCAAGATGGCGGCCGCAGCTGGAGCCAGTTGACCGATTTGACCCATGAGGTGATCGGAGACGACTTGAAGAACTGGGCCACCTTTGCCGTCGGGCCCGGCCACGGGTTGCAGACGAGCTCCGGGCGCCTGGTGATCCCTGCGTATACTTACTACATCCACAAGCGTAGCTGCGGCGTCCCCATTTGCTGCTGCACTAAGCCTCATTGTTTCGTTTTCTACAGCGACGACGGTGGAGGGAGCTGGGCCCAGGGCCAGTTGGCCACGGCCTTGCGGGCGGGAGAGTGCCAGGTGGCTGAGCTGACCCGCCAGGACGGTAGCCAGGTGTTATATTGCAACGCCCGCAGTCCCGAGAAATACAGGGTCGAGGCCTTCAGCGCAGATGATGGGAACCGGTTTGAGGAGCCCTTGCTGTGTAAAGAGTTGCCGGAGACTGGGAAAGGTTGCCAAGGCAGTGTGGTGAGTTTCACACCAGTGCTGCGGCCTTCGGATCCGGGGCCCTGGAAGAACGAGGAAGGCGGACCAGGTTGTCCGCTCGACGTTAGCCCCTCAGTGTCCCTCGTGACTCCCAAGCAGTGGTTGCTTTACTCCCACCCCACAGGCCGACGCAAGCGAGTCGACCTGGGCATCTACCTCAACACGTCCCCGCTGGCGAAGGGCGGCTGGATGGACCCCTGGGTGCTGTACGAAGGGCCCAGCGGCTACTCGGACCTGGCCGTGTGCGAGGAGGGCCAGGTGCCGCCGCTCTTCGGCTGCTTGTTTGAGAGCGGAGTGTCCAGTGAGCTGGAGGAAATCGCTTTCCAGCTCTTCAGTAGTACTGAGCTCCTGAGGAGCGTGAGGGAAGGCTGACCGCACGCCGATTCTCCCTCAGAGGCGTGGCTGCCCTAAACTGGTCCTATCGAGGATATTTAGCACCCGAGGGCAGGAAACGAGAACCTCTTTATCATCTTTCTTCTCCTGCCAATCTTGGCTCAGCCGTTGGCTTGGAGCTAGGGGTTGTGTGCTAGAGGCCCACAGAATAATACCTGAAAACAAGTGAGGAGACCTTGCCCAGAAAAGTAAACCAGTGAATGTGTCAGCTTGAAGGTAACGTTGAATCTGAGATTCCTATATAGGATTTGTTCCTGAGGAAAGACCAGAGATCTGAAACACTTAAATATCCGGAATAAGATGAATAAGGAAATATATATGTCATCCTGGGAATTTTTATGGGAAAATGCAATGAAAATTTCAACATGTAATAATCTAAAAGAGAATTGTTATAAGATGATGTATAGATAGTATATGACACCAAAAAAGATAGCAAATATAAGTAACAATTTATCAAACAAATGTTGGAAATGTAAAAAAATAGCTCTTTTTACTATATGTGGTGGACATGTAATAAAGCAAAACATTTTTGGACTGGGGTCCATACAGAGATGGAAAAAATAATGAAATGTAAAATTAAGAAGGAACCTGAAGTGTTCGTTTTGGGTCTTAAAATGGAGGAAGTTAATATTGCAAAACGGACTTTAATGTGGTATATGATTACAACTGCTAGAATAATATATGCTCAATGTTGGAAGCAAGAAAGAACTCCCGATATCTGGGAATGGTTGAAAAAGTTACATTTTATGGTTGAGATGGACAAAATGATGAGAAAGCTTAAAAATCAAGAAGCAGAAGGGGTTTTTTGCAGATTGGAAAGACTTTAAAGACTACTTGGAGAAATACTGGGATGTAAAGAACAATCTATTTTGCTTTGACAATTATTAAGGTTGGGTGGACATTTAGATTAAATATAAACATACATAGATAAACAGATAAAAAGATATGTTACCTGAAAGAATTATGTTGTTAAAGAATTGGAAAAGGAGAAAAAAATTAAGAATGTAATAAAGGTTTGAGCACTGTGGGAAGTCAGAAGGGGGGGAGGTATTTGGATAAAAGGATATGAAAAGTTTGCTATATGACGTATAATTTTACTTATTACTATATCCTAATAAAATTGTGTTTCTTTTTAAAAAAATCCAGAATAAATGTTGAAAGTAGGGTTACCAAGTACCTACCGCGAATTGGCGGGGGACACATAGTTCTTGGTAGGAACATTCCCGCAGGGAAAACACACACACACTGCACTATGGTGTCGCCCAGACGTGACGTAGGCACGTAGCCGGGCGACGCTCTAGCAATGGGGCTGAAAACTTGATGGTTTCACATCTGGGCAACGGCATGGTGCGATGCGGGTGTGTTACAGGCAGGAATGTTCCGGCGGAAAAGCATGTGTCTCCCGCCGATTTGCGGTAGGTACTTGGTAACCCTAGTTGAAAGAGAGATCGAATTTGGAGCAGACTGCTTTTGAGAACACAAGACTTGTTAGAAGGATATTGACTGAGTTTGGAGCCGACGGCTACGTGTCATTTTATTGACCTTTGTGTTTTTTCTATGAAGGAATAAGTGGTTGGTTTGCATTAAGGTAAAGGTAAATGTTCCCTTGCTCGAAAGCCAGTCGAATCCGACTCTAGGGTTGCGGTGCTCATCTCCGTTTCCAAGCTGAAGAGCCAGCACTGTCCGAAGACATTTCCATGATCATGTGGCCGGCATGACTAAACACCAAGGCACACAGAGCACTGTTCCCTTCCCACCGAAGTGGTACCTATTTATCTACTTGCAATTTCTTGCTTTCGAACTGCTAGGTTGGTTTTCATTACCAGCCACTTAGTGATGTTATGGCTTTAATCTAGTCTCTTTTGTCATTGTATTGTTCCGTGGACATCTAGCACACGTCTGTATATATTTTTTCATACCAGACTGTCTTGGGATTGTGTGTTATTCTTGTGGATTGGAGCTAGGGTTTCCAGGTTCCCACTAAACTGGGTAGCGGGGGGAAAATTAAGGACAAAATGCTTTAGAGAGGGGACTCTGGGGCATTGTACCCCATTGGGGTCCCTGTCCTCCCCAGGCTCCACCCCCAAATCTCCAGGAGTTCCCCAACCTGGACCTGGAAACCCTAGAATCCAAATGCACTGACGTCACTTCCCATGTGTCCGCAAATGACATCAGTACCTGGCTAGGGGTGCTCTAGCACACTGGCAGGACTCTATGGGGTTAACCATAGAGTTTTGCCCAAATGCTAGAGTTCTCCTGGTGACGTGCTGATGTCACTTCCGGCCATACAGGAAGTGACATCAGTGCATCACTGCCAATGTCGTTATGTCACCAGCAAAGGGGTATATTTTTTCATACCAGACTGTCTTGGGAATTGTGTGTTATTCTTGTTTCCAGGTTCCCACTAAGCTGGGTGGCGGGAGAAAAATTAAGGACAAAATGCTTTGGAGGGGAGACTCTGGGGCATTGTACCCCACTCGGGTCCCTGTCCTCCCCAGGCTCCACCCCCAAATCTCCAGGAGTTCTCCAACCTGGACCTGGAAACCCTAGAATCCAAACGCACTGACATGGCTTCCCATGTATCCGCAAATGACATCAGTACGTTGCTAGGGATGCTGCACACTGGCAAGACTCTATGGGGTTAACCATAGAGTTTTGCCCAAATGCTAGAGTTCTCCTGGTGACGTGCTGATGTCACTTCTGGCCACACAAGAAGTGACGTCAGTGCATCGCTGGCAGTGTTGTCATGTCACCAGCAAAGGGGTCAACGGCCTCGGTGAGTCTCCTCCAGTTGCCAGCCTTGCCCTACTTGGAGCTCTGAGGTAAGGGCTTTGGAAAATGGCCGCCACTCAGCCAACAGGCCCTCCCGCCTACCTCGCTGTAAAGCCCGTAGAGAAACCGCTGTGGCCACATCTTGAAGCGAATAGTGGCAAAGATAGATCCAGGCGGTCGGCCGTGTTGGTCTGAAGCAGTAGAACAAATTTAAGAGTCCACCGGGGCACCTTTAAGAGCAACAATAGGTTTATTCAAGGTATGAGCTTTCTTGTGCAAGGCCCACTTTATGAAATACATTACAATGGCAGGGAAGGTTCAGGATTTATACCCAGAGAATGAACAGCAAATTAACATGTACCACGATGATGTTCTAGAAATGCAAAGTGAACCTAAATAACAAGTTAAGGTTATAAGGATATCTTGAACATATCTTTGAATAAGAGAAGGAGAGAAGAGATTGGATTTATACTCCGCCCTTCACTACCCAAGGGAGTCTCAGAGCAGCTTACAAACTCCTTTCCCTCCCCCTCCTCACAAGAGACACCCTGTGAGCAGTGTTCCCTCTAAGCTGTGGAGTCTTGTCAGCAAAAATTCTACTTTGTGAGCTCCTAGCATCAAAGTTGTGAGCAAGCAATTTGGCTATTGCATAAATTAGTTTGCTCTGGAGCCCCATCCTTCCTGAGCTGTGACAAAAATCTGTGAGCCGGAGGCTAAAAAACTGTGAGCTAGCTCACACTAACTCAGCTGAGAGGGAACACTGCTCACAGGGCGTCTGTTGTAGGGAGGGGAAGGGAAAGGAGTTTGTAAGCTGCTCTGAGACTCCCAAATGAGGGCGGGGTATAAATCCAATCTCCTCCTCCTCGTCGTCTTCTTCTTTTGGGTCACACTGCCAGGTGAGACTGGGAGATCTCCCAAAGTTACAGCTGACCTCTAGGCAGCAGAGATCAGTTTCCCCTGGAGAAAAGGGCTGCTTTGGAGGGTGGACTCTAAGGCATTGTGACCCCACCACGGTCTGTGTCCTCCCCAGGCCCCACCCCCAAATCTCCAGGAATCTCCCAACCTTTAGTTGGCAAGCCCTACACTGCAGTGACGATTCCCATTCCCCCCCCCCCTCTCCTCTCTGCAGCTTGATCTCTTTGGGGAATCAGGCTCTTTTTGGGACAAG